CGTGCCTGTAATTCCGGCTGCTTGGAAGGCTGGGGCGGAAGGATCGCTGGAGCCCAGCAGATAGAGGCTGCGGTGGTCGGGAGCGGCCACTGCACTCCAGTCTGGGAGACTGAGGGAGACTCCAACTCAAAAAAAAAAAGAATGTTGGCCAAGATAACATCTGAGCTGGCTTTGAAGGATGAGTACGTTCCTCAAGAGGAAACACACGAGAAGGCTCTTGGAATGACATCAACGAAGTCCCCCCGGCTTCTGTGTGTTGTGTTTTTGTAAAACGTTTCCACGCCTTTAATGAAAACACAGGTTGAAAGGTTTGCCGAAGGTCAAGGTCATGGCTAAATAAAAGCACAGGCAAGTTCTGTGACATAATGTGGCATCTAAGGCGATTACAGGGTACAACCCCTTCATCCTTCATGACGGCGCTTGACGCTTTAATGGTTTAGCGTGTAGTGTTTTTTTGTTTGTTTTGTTTTTACCAGATCTTGGTCTGACTTTATATGAACAGGGCTCGTTTCTTTCAGATCTTGTTACATGATAATGGTCTGGATGGTAGGAAGGCGGTATAAGCAACTTAAGTCACTAGACCAGAGGTGCATTGGCCAGTCAATGTCATCTTTCTGCCTGAAGAAAACTTAACTGGCTGTAAAAGTGCAAGCATGTCCAGTCTTTGTGAACAAGGGTACTTTCAGTTCCGAGAGGTGTATTCTGTTGAGAGGTAGTCGAGGATATATCACAGAGATAACCTTTGAAAGTTACACCTGATGAACAGTTGACGCCTACTTGGATGTGGAAGGTGCCACGAGAGCGTGGGCCTTCTGGCCTCCTAGTGTGGACTTTGGAAACAGCGTCAGCAGCCTGACTGATGCCTTTGTTCTAATCAGTTGTGAGAGACGTGCATTGCTTTTCCACCTTATCTCAGGCCTCCCAACGTCTCTGACCATTGGTCAACTAAGGACAAATTCCTAAAACCCAGCTTCCTACCTAGTCCTCCTGACTGGTCCCCTAGGGAGCTCACACAAGCCCGCCTGGCACCTGTAGACGGTTGAGCAGGACCAACAAAGCAGCACTGACAAAACGAAAGCATGAGGCGACAGTAAGGAAGACCTTGTAGCCTAAGAGGCAGATGTCTGAGGCGCAGCGAGGACAGCAGCGAGTTCTGACTGGAGACCTGTCCTTCCCCAATCTCGGACAGGAGGGCAAGGACCCTGCCTCCCGTTCCATCTCCAAGATACCGCTAATAAAAGTCAGGGGTGAATGGAGCCCCACGAACACAGAAACCATTATATCGCAAAGGTCGATTTTTGTGGGAAGAGCACTAGCATTAGAAGTAGACATGGCTAACAGGACAGTCACCACAAGCCCAGAGAGCACGGCCCACTTCTCTTCCTTGGACATAGCATAAGTGAAAAGAGCTCAGGACTGGGCAGCTTAGCAAAGCTCTGTTCTAGGACTTAGGAAGAAGAGCGCCTTCCCTCTCATTCACTTTCTTTCTCCTGCCCTTAGAATGCCAGGTGCTCAGGAAGAAAGGGTGGAAGAAGCCATTTAAGAATGAGCCGGGCTCGGTGGCCCAGCCTGTCATCCCGTGCTTTGGGAGGCCGAGGTGAGTGAATGGCCTGAGTCCGCGGGTTTGAGACCCACCTGGGCAACTTGGCGAGACCTCATCTCTACAGCAAATCAAAAAAATTAGCTGGGCGTGGTAGCGCCGCGTGCCTGTAGTTCCAGCTACTTGGAAGGCTGAGGGGAAGGATCGCCGGAGCCCAGCAGGTAGAGGCTGTGGTGGCCGGGAGCGGCCACTGCACTCCAGTCGGGGCGACAGAGTGAGACTCCAACTCAAAAAAAAAAAAAAGATTGTACCTAGAACATCTTTTGTGTTAAACAGGCAAGAAAGCTGATTTGCAATTCCTAAGTCCAGCACACACCATGCGGATTGGAGGCGGAACCTCAACCCAGAGATCCCACCCGCTTAGGGTGTCCCCTGCCTGTGCCTCGGGAATCTGGATGGAGATGTCTGGAAAACGAGGGGAGGCTCCCTGACCAGTTTCGACTTGCTGTTCCTGGAGTGGCAAGCGTGTCGCAGGCAGCAGG